AAGAGCTGGTGGACAGTGGAACAGACTCCTTTGGAAGATGGCAGACTCTCCCTCCTTGGAGGTTTTTAAGCAGAGGTTGGCTAGCCATCTGTCAAGGATGCTTTAGTTGAGATTCCTGCATTTGCAGGGGGTTGTATGAGATGACCTTCGGTGGTAACCCGCCTCCCCAACCCTACAATTCTGTGATACTATGAAATTTATTATGCAGATGTCGGTTGTCATGGCAGCCAGAAAAATAAATCAGAAGTCACCATTTTCATTTTTAAACATGCTTCAAAGAACCACCGTCTTTCAAAAAATAAAAAAGAGAATTTCAAGTCAATTCCTTTGGCAATCATCACAGGTTGACTCCAGCGCTGGAGTCACCTTATAATTCTTCTCCTTCCGTGGATCAGAGCCTGGAAAACTGGACTGGAGAGTTCAGAGCCGCAAGACCCAATTCTTGCAAACACCCTTCCAGAACACCCTCTACACAGCAGGGAGCCAGGCCTCCATCTAGCTCTTCAAATGCTCTTCAAATGCGTCCCTCCTAGCTGAAATTTCACTCCATTTTTTTTTATTGCGCAGGAACCAAGAGGAATTTGGGGAGGGGGGAGAGAACGGGGTGGGGAGGGAGGGAGAGGAGCTGTCAGTAAAACTGTCTCCTCAAATTTATTTGCTCAGCCAAGGTTTTATTGCAAAGAAAATACACACTCTCACATACACAAGATAAAGAACTGGAGGGGGAATTATCCAGGTCGTAAATCCCTTCACACTTTGTAGGGATGCCTGGTGGACGTTTTCAAGGACACAGACCATATCAGCGGCTCTTTAACATCACCGTGTATATTATTAATTGTTGTTCTTGATTTCCTTATTTGAAAACTCTTCCAAGAAGCCTGGGGAAATATCAAATAAATTTTTCCACTTGGCAAATTGGTACCAGCCACTTGGTTTTCTCCTACCTCATAGCAAATCGTCACAACTTTCTGGGTATTGGCGGTTAGGCATTGGTATAGTTCTGTAGATGGAAGAGGGGAGGTAACGCCATCACATGCCCCGCATATTGAAGGGTAGTCCGATAAAGGATTCCGGGGTGTGTGGTCCTGTCCGAAGCCTATGGAGGTGAGGGCCTAAGGCACGCCCCCGAGCGGTGACCCCGGGGGAGTTCCTAGTTGATGTGCATCAGCAGGACTCCCCCTACTGGTGGTTAACCCTTCCCGGACTTCAAGCAGATGGGCTGAAGTCGGATATAGTCGGTTAGGACCAATGCCTAAGCCAATACCTCTCATCACCTGTAACCAATAAAGTTGTGGCCTTTTTTAGCCCATTAACCTTAATAATTCTGTCATGTGTCATTATTTCCACTGGGGGGGGGGACTCGCCACGCAACCAGCACCATGCTCTAACCGACTGAGCTATGTTGGAAGATTCAGGACAGATAAAAGAAAGTCCTTCATTATGCAGTGAATAGTTGAACTCTGGAACTCCCTCTCACAGGAGACAGTGATGACCATTGACTTGGGGGGCTTTAAAAGAGGATGGGGCAACTTCATGGAGGATGAAGCTAGCAATGGCTGCCCGTCGCAGTGTCTGTGCTCTGCCTCCATTGTCAGAGGCAGCAATGCTTCTGAATACCAGTTACTGGAAGCCCCAAATGGAGAGAGTGTGTTTGTGCTCAAATCCTATTCGCAGGCTTCCCACAGGTATCTAGGTGGCCACTGTGAGAACAGGATGCTCAACTAGATGGGCCCTTGGCTTTATCCAATTGGGAGCTTTTTATGTTCTTATAAATGGCCTTCCAAGTTCCCCAAGCCCAAACCGGAAAAACTGCTAAGGATCATTTCTCCCAAATTAACATAGGAAGCTGCAAACCGCATCATTGATCCAACCAGCTTGGGATTGTCTACACCAGGTTTTGACAAATTCATGGAGGGTTTAGCAGGGTCAGCAAACTTTTTCAGCTGTGGGCCAGTCCACTGTCCCTCAGACCTTGTGGGGGGCCAGACTATATTTTTTTTTTGGAGAAATGAACAAATTCCTATGCCCCACAAATAACCCAGAGATGCATTTTAAATAAAAGCACACATTCTACTCATGTAAAAACACCAGGCAGGCCCCACAAATAACCCAGAGATGCATCTTAAATAAAAGGACACATTCTACTCATGTAAAAACATGCTGATTCCGGGACTGGCATGGGACAAATTTAGAAGGTGATTGGGCCGGATCCGGCCCCTGGGCCTTAGTTTGCCTACCCATGGACTAAATGGTCAGAATTTGGGAGGTTTCAGGGGATGGGAAAACTTCACCTCAGGTCAAATCCACAACGGGCTGCAACTACAGTGGTACCTCGGGTTACAGATGCTTCAGCTTACAGACGCTTCAGGTTACAGACTCTGCTAACCCAAAAATAGTACCTCGGGTTAAGAACTTTGCTTCAGGATGAGAATAGAAATTGTGCTCCGGCGGCACAGCAGCAGCAGGAGGCCCCATTAGCTAAAGTGGTGCTTCAGGTTAAGAACAGTTTCAGGTTAAGAATGGACCTCCAGAACAAATTAAATACTTAACTCGAGGTACCACTCTATCCCAGTTTACAGGGGCATCTTCTTGCAAATTTGCAAACACACACTTGCTGCGTTTATACAGCAAAAACACCCTTCTCGCTCTCTTTTTTTAGAAGGAAGAGGAGGCGGTACAGATTTATCCATCCTACCTACAATTTCTGTATGACGTCCAGTGTGAGCTGATGGACAGATTCTCTCTTGGTTCTAGGGAATGAAGAATGGGGATGGAGGGGCTTTGTCAGTTTTGATAGTTGTCAGCTCCTGGCTTGGTGTCGCAATTGACATATGCTAGCCATGAAACTGACGTCTCGATCAAAAAATATAAAGCTGGAGTGGGGGGATGGTGTGCAGAGGACATTTCTTTCCCCGAACACCACCGAAAATCCTTTAATTGGCAGCACCCACCTGAGAGAAGTGGCAAACATGAAAACGGATTTCACGCCAGCTCAAATTATCTACCCGTCTTCTGGCTCAGCCCTTCAAATGTGATGAGTCCCTTTCGACGGTGCAAAAACAAACAAACAGGTGTCTGCAACTATGGCCTTTGGCATGGAACAATGCACGGAAAAAACTCAAGTTATGGGAAGTAAAGAGGCACAACAGATCCACAGAGAAAATAACAGGAGAGCATCCAAAAGGATCACAGAAGACAAATCTTAAATTCTCAGACGTTTGCTAGACAAAGTTTCAGCTTCCTGCTCTGTTTCCAAGGGCACGATAGTTTATATTGTATCTATATCTACACCTATACTTATGTTTATAGAATCATAGCTGGAAGGGACTCTACGGATAATCTAGTCCAACTCCCTGCAATGCAGGAATACGCAGCTGTCCAATAAGGGGAATGTACTTGAAACTGTGGCATTATCAGCACCATGTAATAATAATAATAATAATAATAATAATAATAATAATAATTTATTTATTATACCCCGCCCTTCTGGCTGGGTTTCCCCAGCCACTCTGGGTGGCTTCCAACAAAATATTAAAATACAATACAGTGGTACCTCAGGTTAAGTACTTAATTCGTTCCGGAGGTCTGTTCTTACCTGAAACTGTTCTTAACCTGAAGCACTACTTTAGCTAACGGGGCCTCCTGCTGCTGCTGTGCCACCAGAGCCCGATTTCTGTTCTTATCCTGAAGCAAAGTTCTTAACCTGAAGCACTATTTCTGGGTTAGCGGAGTCTGTAACCTGAAGCGTATGTAACCTGAAGCGTATGTAACCCGAGGTACCACTGTAATCTGTTAAACATTAAAAGCTTCCCTAAACAAGGCTGCCTTCTGCTGTCTTCTAAAAGTCTGGTAGTTGTTTTTCTCTTTGACATCTGGTGGGAGGGTTTCCACAGGGCGGGTGCCACTACCGAGAAGGCCCTCTGCCTTTCTGGCGGTTCCCTCGCTGTGAGAAGTGAGGTTGCAGGAAACCAGGCAGAGGGCCTTCTCGGTAGTGGCGCCCGCCCTGTGGAATGCCCTCCCAGCAGATGTCAAGGCAATAAACAACTATTTTACTTTTAAAAGACAACTGAAGGCGACCCTGTTTAGGGAAGTTTTTAATGTCTGATGTTTTATCGTGTTTTTAATATTCTGTTGAGAGCCGCCCATGGTGGCTGGGGAAACCCAGCCGGATGGGCAGGATATAAATAATAATAAATAAATAAATAATAATAATAATAATAATTATTATTATTATTATTATTATTATTTTGCCAGACTGGATGGGCCAGTGGCTTGAACCAGCAGGCTCTCCTTATATTCTTAATTAAGTATCATTTTCAGACTGGGAGCAGGGAATACGGATCATATCTGCTATGCTGATTTCCATTCCAGACACGGGACGAATAAGATCAAGGCTTTCCCATCTCATTTTCATTTTCGCCAGAATTCTCCAACATCCCAGCTTTTGTCAAACAAACACAGGTCAGTCTCAAGGAATGTGTGTGTTCAGATTCCATTGCCTCTTTCTCCTTTCTGGCGTTCCATTCGCCGCTGGGAGAAACAAATCACAGCCGGTCTTCCCTGACCCGTCTCAGCACAGCTTGGAAATGGGACGGCGATTTTCGCTTGCCCGGCACAAGCAAAACAGATCAAAACTCATCTCCCCACCCCCACAAGCAAACTCTCCGCAGCCGCCCTCTAAAGTGCTGCCCCCCCCCATCCCTCTCCATGTTCTACAAAACCAATTACAGACTGGAAATAGCTGTAATAAACTTGATATCCCACTCATGGCCCAATCCCACCGATGCTGAAAGAATGTGTAATAGCTGCTGGGACACACAAGGGGAAGGAAAAACAACAACTCACAGCGGTTTCATCACTCAGGTTGTTTAAATTGTGTCCTGTGCATCTCCTGGCCTCTGCCCCCCTCCTGTTGCTGCAAAACAGGACGGAGTGTACAGCCAAGTGCTTTGAGACGCTGTGCGGCGACTCAGCACCTCAGCTGGGGCAAAAAGACAAAACGGGTAACACAATCTGATGCTGGAGGGCTACTAGATTGAAGCCGTTGGGCGCTGTGAGGAACAAGACATTGGAGTAGATAAACTGTTTATCTGATCCTGTTGGACCCTTCTGATGTCCAGTTTGTCAGGTGTGTGTGTGTGTTTGTGTGTGTAAGAAATAAGGATGAGGAAAGGTTAACAACAGGAAGATTTAAAGGAACTATTGGAAAGACTATTCAAGGCAGCAGAGATATGAGATGATCAGAGCCCCCGAACTTGAAGCATGGGAAGTCCCAACAAAAAAATTATAATTTAGGCAGAATAGTTGGACTATTTGATATGTATTTGTATAATCTGGAATCCTTATTTAAGGCATACCCCCCAAAGAATCCTGGGAGCTATAGTTTACTCCCCAGAAAGCTGCAATCCTGAACACTGTTAACAAAGTACAGTTACTGTGTTGTTTTTTTGGGGGGGGGGTTGGAGTGAGAATCTCCTTTAAATGTGCTTTAAATGTATGACTCGTATGCAAGATAATTAATCTGGGATCTTAGGGCAGGATTTGCTGCTGTTTTAGGAGTTTTCTGTAAGTAAAAAAACAAACCCCTGCACCCTCCCCATCCAAATTGCCCGTGATGGAGCAGAACGGTGCGCCATATGATCAGTTTCCCATTCCATGTCCTTAACATCTGCTTGAACAACCAAGCGACTTTCAGGAAATAGATCATCCTTAAGCAAACAGTTTTAGACAACACAGGCTCCCGTCCAACTATCTTTCCTATCACGGGCAATTACCAAGACGTTTTAAGGTGATGTGGAAGGCTGCTCTGCCAGGGCTGACTTCTGGAGCTGGAGAGCTGGGCATATGACGTCGTCTTCTAGACCAGGGACAAGGAACTGCAGGCTTGGTAGTCAAATGGAGTCCTCCAGACCTCTCCATTTGGCCCCCAGGACTTTGCTCAGCCACACCCCTTCTCCCCAGGCCACACCCCTCCTGCCTCTTGTTCACCTGCATGAAGGACTAATCAGCCTTCATGGGAGGTGTTCTAACGCTGCTTGGATGGGCCTGCTAGCTGCTCCAGCAAGTGGTAGTATGATTTGTGTACAGCATGTGAGTGTCTGAGAGAGCTTGAGATAGGAAGTCTGTATAATAATAATAATAATAATAATAATTTATTTATAACCCTGCCCATCCGGCTGAGTTTCCCCAGCCACTCTGGGCAGCTTCCAATTGAGTGTTAAAAACAATACAGCATTAAATATTAAAAACTTCCCTAAACAGGGCTGCCTTCAGATGTCTTTTAAAGGTAAGATAGCTGCTTATTTCCTTCACATCTGAAGGGAGGGCATTCCACAGGGCGGGTGCCACTACCGAGAAGGCCCTCTGCCTGGTTCCCTGTAACTTGGCTTCTTGCAATGAGGGAACCGCCAGAAGGCCCTCGGCGCTGGATCTCAGTGTCCGGGCTGACGATGGGGGTGGAGACGCTCCTTCAGGTATACAGGACCGAGGCCGTTTATCTCTTCCTTCTGAGTACTATTGGAAGTTAGTTTCACTTCTGTGTGTGTCGCAGTTCTGTACTGCTGTTCAGAGAGCACAGACATACTGATGGAGTCTCTGTACACAAGACTGTAAATAAAGTAGTTTAGAACTACAATTGAGTCTTTCTTCTGCTATGATATACCAGAAGACTGGTGTGCTCTTTTCAGGAGAGAAGGGTCACTTATTACCGGTCTCTCTGGACTGAGGGAGATTTACACCCAGGGAGGACCACCAGAGAGATGCTCCGAGGACTTGGGAAGTTGGCAGCCTTCCCGGGGGGGGGGGGGGAGATTTTTCCAACAGGGCCACCAGTCAGGGATTATTCAGCTGTGACTCCTGCATTGCAGGGGCTCAGGCTAGAAGACCTCTGAGGTGCCTTCCAACTCTGTAATTCTAGTATGCTATGATCGGGGTATGTACAACTGGTTTATGCAATCCTTGATAGTAGGGTCTTTATTTAAAAATATTTTTTATTGATTTTTCCGTGTATACTTCTTCTAACAATATATCTTTAACAATTTTTCATATTTCGACCCTCCTCCCCTGGACTTCCCCCATACTCCTGTTTTGTTTTATTTCCATATTATTCACCCTGCGTATTATTTCCCCAAAATTTTCTCAATACATACAGTCTTATTTTTTTGTTGTATACAGTTGTGATTGTTTACTCAAACCCTGCCAATGAGTCCATTTCTTTATTTTGCCTCTTCATATATGTTGTGAATGGGAAGCATTTACAATGCTACTGGTTTCTTAACAAAGGTCTTTTTAAACATTTTTTTTCAATTCATTATATATCATTTTCCAATAATTTATAATCTTTTTTGCATTCCCACCACATATGAGAGAATGCCCCATCTTTTTCTTTACATTTCCAACAAGTTTTTGATCCCTTTTTATATATTTTGACCACTTTCTCTGGTGTTATATACCATCTATACATCATTTTCATATAATTCTCTTTCAATAAGATACAATCTGTAAATTTTAGGTTCACCTTCCACATCTTTTCCCAATCTTCAAGTTGTATATAATGACCTAAATCCTGACCCCACTTTATTTGTGCTGACTTTACCACCTGACAGTAGGGTCTGACTTTCAGGACCTCGGAGAGCTCCAAGGATGTCCAGGTGTTCGCTGTAGGAACATCGGAAACGACTTTCTTTTCTTTTTTAATAATAATATTTATTCAGAAACGACTTTCTACTGAGTCAGATCCTAGGTTCTTTCAGCTCAGTATTGTCTACACTGACTGGCAGAGGCCCTGCAGGGTTTCAAGGAGTAGGTAGGTCCCCATCCTATCTGGAGATGAAATTGGGTTGAACCTAGGACTTTCTGCATGCAAATCAGGTCCTCTAAGCCACTGAGTTATGGCCTCTTCTCCTGAGAAGTCAGCATGTGTAGCATGTTTTCATCTGAAGAGATGGACCCACCTCTCAGAATCCTCACCCCCACGAGCTCAAGGCTGAAAGTGGTTCTAGCTAAAAGTCAGCTATATCCTCCGTGGAAAAACATCACATACATCCACCCCCTTTCATGGAACAGGAAAATGCCTCTGGACTCTGCTACCTTGTCAGGACTTGGATGGAGATCTCGCCTGCAAAGAGAGCTGTGTGCATTTACAGCGGTTGCTCTGCAATAAATAAATAAGTAAATAAAATTGGGGAAAGTGCCAGGGGTGGAGGGGGGAGAGAGGGAGAACCTCCTTTCATCGCCTCCCCACTGACTCCGGCAAACAGGCTTCCTAGGAACAAATAGAGCATTCAATTTGTTTTTCCAGGAGCAAGCTGTTTCCATCTCTCAGCAGAAATAATTAAGGATAAAACACAGCATCCTACCTTTCTGCTCGCTGACTATCCCTGCTGCAGAAGAAATGTGGAAACACAGAATTGGAAGGGGACCCAATGGGTTATCTAGCCCAACCCCTGCAATGCAAAGTCTGAGCCAGAAGCAAGGGAAGCTTTCTTCCAACCTGAGAACTGCATTCCCTGATTGCCAGCCTTCCAGGGGCCATGTACAATTGACAAAGAGGGGCCAGAGGCAAAAGCAGGGGTGACAAAAGTTGCTTTTGTACAGTACTCAAAGCTATGGTTTTTCCCAGTAGTGATGCATGGAAGTGAGAGCTGAACCATAAAGAAGACTGATCACCGAAGAATTGAAGCTTTTGAATTATGGTGCTGGAGGAGACTGTTGAGAGTCCCATGGACTGCAAAAAGATCAAACCTATCCATTCTGAAGGAAATCAGCCCACTGGAAGGACAGATCCTGAAGCTGAGACTCCAATACTTTGGTCACCTCATGAGAAGAGAAGACTCCCCGGAAAAGACCCTGATGTTGGGAAAGATTGAGGGCACAAGGAGAAGGGGATGACAGAGGAGAAGGTGGTTGGACAGTGTTCTTGAAGCTACCAGCATGAGTTTGACCAAACTGCGGGAGGCAGTGGAAGACAGGAGTGCCTGGTGTGCTCATAGGGACACGAAGAGTTGGACACAACTAAATGACTAAACAACAACAACAAGTTTGTATAGCGCATGGGTAGGCAAACTAAGGCCTGGGGGCCGGATCTGGCCCAATCACCTTCTAAATCTGGCCCCTGGACGGTCTGGGAATCAGTGTGTTTTTACATGAGTAGAATGTGTCCTTTTATTTAAAATGCATCTCTGGGTTATTTGCGGGGCATAGGAATTCATTCATCCCAACCCCCCAAAAAATATAGCCCACCCCCCCAAGGTCTGAGGGACAGTGGACCAGCCCCCTGCTGAAAAAGTTTGCTGACCCCTGGTATAGTGGGTTTAGAGAACTGTGGGGGGGGGGGGGAATCAGGTAGTACAGTCATATCTCAGGTTACAGCCGCTTCAGGTTGTGATTTTTCGGGTTGCGGACCTCCGAAACCCAGAAGTACTGGAACGGGTTGCTTCCAGGTTTCTGCAGTTGTGCATTCACAGAAGTGCTAAGTTGTGCTTTGCGCATGTGCAGAAGTGGTTAAATCGCAGCCCTCGTGTGCGCAGACACGCAGACATGGGTTGTGAATGCTGCGGGTTGCGAACATGCATCCTACACAGATCACGTCCGCAACCCGAGCGTCCACTGTATATGGGAAGATGAGTCTAAAAAGTCCAGGACACCAATTTTGACAGCCCTCTAGCAGCTGTGGTGCCTCATTTACCAGAAGTAATGTATTTAGCATTAACTCCGGAAGTGTAAACTCAATTCTGACCTCCTAGAGTAAAACACACATCAGGAGGCTTAGTTTTACAAATCTGTGGTGTGACCTCACTTGGCATAATGCTGTGTGCAGTTCTGGTTGCCACCTCTCAAAAGGGATATTGTGTAATTGTACAAGGTTCTGAAAAGGGCAAAGGAAATATCAAAGGGATGGAGGGACTCCCCTAGGAAGGAACGTTGCTGTGTTTGGGGCTTCTTAAAGGTAAAGCTAAAGGGACCCCTGACCATTAGGTCCAGTCGTGACCCACTCTGGGGTTGCAGTGCTCATCTCACTTTATTGGCCAAGGGAGCCGGCGTACAGCTTCCGGGTCATGTGGCCAGCATGACTAAGCTGCTTCTGGCGGACCAGAACAGCGAACGGAAACGCCGTTTACCTTCCCACCGGGGTGGTACCTATTTATCTACTTGCACTTTGACGTGCTTTTGAACTGCTAGGTAGGCAGGAGCTGGGACTGAGCAATGGGAGCGCACCCTGTCACGGGGATTCGAACCGCTGACCTTCTGATCGGCAAGTCCTAGGCTCTGTGGTTTAGACCAGTGCCACCCGCGTCATAGCTTAGAGTAAAAGCGAGTCAGAGGCGACATGCCAGTAGTATATGAAATTATGGAATGGAGAAAATGGAGAGAGAAGTTTTTCTCCCTCTCTCATGGTGCTAAAACTTGTGGTCATGCAATGAAGCCAAATGTTGGACAGATAAGATAAAGGAGTTAAACTGTGGTACTCCCTCCCACAGGACCGGCCACCAACTTAGATGGCTACTACTCTTGATGGCTCTGCTCTGACTCTACCATCGAGGACAGCAATGCTTCTGAATACCAGTTGTTGGACACCACAGGAGAATTCTTGTGCTCGAATCCTGCTTAGGGGTCTCCCACAGGCCTTTGATTGGCCACTGTGAAACCAGGATGCTGCGCTAGATGGGTCATTGGCTCTTGTGATGTTCCGGTTCCCTCCTTCCTGCCCTCAAAGGAAACCAGCCAGCCAGCCTACCTGCCAATCACCCCGCAACTTTCACAAAGCCACGGCACTGTAATCACTCACCCTCCCAATCGCCGTGGCTTTCCGGGGGACACAAGGGTGGGCGAGGATCCTGCTGCCCAGCTGAATTAGAGATGGCTCCTCTCAAGCCACCCTTGGCGTGACCGCCACCCCCGCCCCTCTGCCCCTAGACATCGCGGGAAGTCGCCGGGCAGGGTTTTAACGTCTCATTTTCTTAACGGGAACCGGCAGGCGGGACCCCAGCAGGGACTCCGGCTTGTCAGAGTCAATCAGGTTGGCTTGGGGAAGTGCGGAGAGCATCTGTAATTCATCAACCCCAAGCCTGTCCCGGGTGACGGGTTTTTCACTCATCGGAGCACAGTGCTTTCCTCCGGACGAGGATCGAGCTGACAGCCGCGGTGGCGGAAAGAGCATCATTGCCACCAGGGACGGCTGCTAATTAGTCTACAAGATCTTTACACCCCCAACCCCACGCGCACACACAACCAGTCTTGCATACAGAGGAGGTTCAGCAAGCTGGCTTCCCAGAGCATTCTGGGGGGTGGAAGAGATCAAACATGTCTCCTTCAAGACATCCCATGAAAAGTGCCACCAAGGAAGCGCATTGCTCCATATCATTGGTGGTCTTCCTGTTGCTAATGCAAAATAAATATTTGTTTATGGCATTTGGATCCTGTCTTTCTCCTTCAAGGAACTCAAGGTGGCATACATGGTTCTCTTCCTTGTTTCATTCTCACAACAGCCCTGTGAGATCGGTTAAGCTGAGAGATATGGTAACTGGCCCAGTCTCTCAGTGAGCTACATGTAGAGACTACAACCCCCGTCTTCCAGATCCTGGTTCGACACTCTAACCACTACGCCACACCAACCTCAGGTCTGTGACCCAGATGCGGCCCCTGTGACCTCCTGATCCGGCCCTCAAAACTCTCTGCAGCCCTTGCCACCTCTCCCTTTGCCATGAGACTCAAGACGCTTTCTTCACCATTAACTGGATTTGTCTTAGTAGCAGGAAGTACAGTTGTACCTCGGGAGTCGAACGGAATCCATTCCGGAAGTCTGTTTGACTTCCAAAATGTTTGGAAACCAAATGCAGCTTCTGATTGGCTTCAGGAAGCTCCTGCAGCTAATCAAAAGCCCTGTCAGATGTTCGGGTTCCAAAGAACGTTCGCAAACTGGAACACTCGCTTCTGGGTTGGTGGTGTTCGGGAGCCAAGGTACGACTGTATGCTTATAGCCACATTCTAAAAAGGGAAAGGTAAAGGTACCCCTGACCGTTCTGGGGTTGCACACTCATCTCGCTCTATAGGCCAAGGGAGCCGGCGTTTGTCCACAGACAGCTTCTGGGTCATGTGGCCAGCATGACTAAGCCGCTTCTAGCGAACCAGAGCAGCACACAGAAATGCCGTTTACCTTCCCACCGGAGTGGTACCTATTTATCTACTTGCACATTCTAGAAGGATTTAAAAGAGGCAAACAAATGCTTGGTACAAGAGAGGATGGCATATTGCCCTTACGGAAAAAACAAATTGAGACTGGCAAGAGGAAGAAAGGATAAAGCAGGAGAATAGCAGAGCTTCATTTCATTCGCAATTTCTCCAGAAAACCAAAGACCAGTAGCACAGGTTCAAACTAACTTGTGGGTCACTTAATAACAACATGTATTGCGGCTGTATACTGTTATAAGTAGGGACGCGGGTGGCACTGTGGGCTAAACCACAGAGCCTAGGGCTTGCAGGGTCGGCAGTTCAAATCCCCATGGGGTGAGCTCCCGTTGCTCGGTCCCTGCTCCTGTCCACCTAGCAGTTCAAAAGCACGTCAAAGTGCAAGTAGATCAATAGGTACTGCTCCAGTGGGAAGGTAAACGGCGTTTCTGTGTGCTGTTGTGGTTCACCAGAAGCGGCTTAGCCTTGCTGGCCACATGACCCAGAAGCTGTGTGCCAGCTCCCTCGGCCAGTAAAGCAAGATGAGCGCCGCAACCCCAGAGTCAGCCACGACTGGACCTAATGGTCAGGGGTCCCTTTACCTTTACTGTTATCAGTGGCACATGTATAGAAATGCCAGTTTTCACAATGGATTTTGGGGGGTCTCTGGGGAAACTGAAGGAAGAAAAAATAATAAATAAATCAACCCCAGAGCCGCAGTCACATCTGTGTTTCTCTTACCCACCAGGTCTCATTAAAAGTCACAGAGAGGAGACCCTGATAAACACAAAACATCACCTCCTGCCACAACCTCTCCACTAAAAGTCCCTCCCTGCAGGGTCTCCAGAGCTAAAAATGTGCAACACTCTCCTTTCCATGCTCATCATATTGTCCTCACAGTGCTAGCCACACTGCGAAGCCAAAACCTCGCCACTGCCTAGTTTGCTCTGTATCAACATCTTTGCAGGCATCTGGGCAGAAAGTTGAAGGAGGAGTTTTGTTTTGCTCTCCTGGCACTATAAGAGAATAAATTTCCTTCCATCCCAGCAAACTGGCAAAGCCCTGCTGGCAGCCATACCGATCAGGTCTCCGGTGAACCTCTCAATCCAGCTGCCATCTGAAGCCAACTAACAGCTCAGTGGCTCCATGTTTTTTGGGCAGGATGCTGCCAATTCAGCAGTAAAACTACAGTCGCATCACAAGCTAAATGGTGTGGCATCTAAGGAAGGGTAGGAAGTCCCAACACAGACGTCCCCAAGAGGGTGCCCTTCAAATCTCTTGGACTCCAACCGGTGGGAGCTGGTGGGAGGGCCATCACTGAAGTAGACCGCCACTTGCCTTTACTGCCTCCATTGAAACTCTGCCTTCTTTTGATAAAGTGGCTCCAATAATTGCTGGACCCTAACTCCCACTCTCCCTTACTAATTGACCATGTTGGCTTGGGGCTGGTGGGAGTTGGAGTCCGCATTCCCCAACTAAACCATCACTTGTCTTTACTGCCCCTTGCTACCTCCATCAGTGGTGTAGCGTGGGTTGCCGGTGCCCAGGGCCGTGAGGAGGGGGCGGGTGGGAGAGGGAGAGAGAGAGAGAGAGAGAGAGGGAAATGCACGCATGTGCATTCAACTGCCTAATGGCTATCACCCAGGTGATCACCCAGCCACAGAGAAGAAGAGTCATTCGGTCATCCGGAGAGGTTACTTCCTGGTTTGCATAGCAAATCTGTTTTCAACAGAGCCAAGTGACAACAGTGCACAGCGCTGGGTGTTGAAATTCTGTGCCCCCTAACAATTTTGCGCCTGGGGCAACCGCTTCTGTGTGCCCTCCATGCTACGCCACTGACTTCCATCACAACTCTTTCTCCTTTTAATGCAGGGGCAGGGAACTGTAGACTTCCAGATATGGCTGGATTCCAGCTCCCATCCTCCATGCCACAGGCTATGCTGGTTAGGGACTAGATGGACCATTGGTCTCACTTGGGGGAAGGCAGCTTCCTACTTTCTTACATGGCTCATCCTCCTGCTCGCTCAACAGTTGAAACAGCTGCTTGTGAAGAATGATTACAAGCGATATGCTTGCTGATGATGTTAAACAGCCATTTGCTCACCGACTCGGTATTTTCAGCCCCTGCAAGACCCTGACGTTCATGGCGCTAAATAAGCAGGTAAATAGATGGTGGTAAATAAGCAGGAGCTCCAAACCAAGACAAAGCACTAGAGGAAATGAGAACAAAGGTGTAAGGATGAAACCTGGGGCTGGATTGCACCTGAACCTAAGAACTTGAAAAGTCTCTGCTGGATCAGGCCAGCAGCCAATCTGGACCAGCTTCCTGTTCTCACAGTGGCTAACTATATGCTCCAAAGGGAAGCCCAGAAGCAGGAACCGAGCGCAAGAACACTTTCCCTTCCTGCCGTTTCCAGCAACTGGTGCACAGAAGCATCACTGGCCCCAACCACGGAGGCACAGCATAGCCATCATGGCTAGTAGCCATCGATAGCCTTCATGAATTTGTCCAATCCTCTTTTAAAGGCATCCAACCACCTGGGCTGAGAAGGAGGCTTACAAAAGCTCTGCCATCCCAACGCACTTGGCAGGATCCCACAACTTCCTGCCTCCCCCAAATGTCGAAAAGGAGACAAAGAGCGTGGGCGAGAGGACGAGGAGAAGGGTGACCTTGGGTGCAGCTGCACCAAGGAGAAAGGAGGCTGTGTCACTGGCATGGTCCCCACACACCCCTTGCCAGGGCTGGGGAGCCATCACTGCCAAAAGGAGGGAGACGACAGGGGTCTGAGGAAGGAGAGAGGCAGAGCAGAAGGTTGGCTGACGGGGTATGGATTTCAAGCTGGTTCTGTCTTTGGCACCGGCTGATGAACCATCATGTGCTTCTCCCATTGTCAGACAAAGAAGAGAGAGATTTCCTAAAGCTAATGCAATTCTAGGCTGCATCAACAGACATCTCCCAATCCAGGGAAGAAATAATATTGCTCTATTCTGCCCAGCGACGTGGGTGGCGCTGTGGGTTAAACCACAGAGCCTAGGACTTGCCGATCAGAAGGTTGGCGGTTTGAATCTCTGCAATGGGGTGAGCTCCCGTTGCTCGGTCCCTGCTCCTGCCCACCTAGCAGTTCAAAAGCATGTCAAAGTGCAAGTAGATAAATAGGTACCGCTCAGGTGGGAAGGTAAACGGCGTTTCTGTGCGCTGCTCTGGTTCACCAGAAGTGGCTTAGTCATGCTGGCCACATGACCTGGAAGCTGTATGCCGGCTCCCTCGGCCAATAAAGTGAGATGAGCGCCACAACCCCAGAGTTGGCCATGACTGGACCTATTGGTCTGGGGTCCCTTTACCTTTATTCTGCCCACACCTGGAGTTCTGTGTCCAGTTCTGGGTGCCACAATTTAAGAAGGATATTGACAAGCTGGAATGTGTGCGATCAAGATGACCAAGGGTCTGGAAACCAAGGCTTAGGAGGAATGGTTGAGGCAACTGGGTATGTTTAGCATGGAGAAGTGAAGACTTAAGAGATGATATGATAGCCAAACTTTAATATCTGAAGGGCTAGTCTATGGAAGATGGAGCAAGCTTGACTTCTGCTGCTCCAGAGGGCAGGATCCCAACCAATGAATTTAAATGGCAAGAAAGGAGATTCCAGCTAAACCTTAGGAAGAACTTTCTGGTGGTAAGAGCTGTTTAACAGTGAGACAGACTACCACAGAAGGCGATGGACTCTCACTGGAGGTTTTTAAGAAGAGGTTGGAAAGCCATCTTTCTGGGATTCTCTAGCTGCAATTCCTCAATGGCAGGGGTTGGACAGGATGACCTTTGGGGTCCCTTCCCACCCTACAGTTCTATGATGCTATGAAATGGAAGCCATCTATGACAACAAGAAGAAGCTGCCTTCTACCAAGTCAGACCAGTGGTCCACCTAGCTCAGTACTGTCTACCCTGACTGGCAGCAGCTTCCCAAGGTTTCAGACAAGGTGCCTCTCACAGTTCGACTTGGAGATTCCAGCAAGTGAACCTTGAAATCAGGAAAAAGCAGCTTCCATCGTTGAACACCTGCACTTCCAGGGAGCTCTCTGAAGACCCTGCTATCTGGGATTGAATTACCTCGACCCTGCCCTTGTCTTCTCATTGCTGGATGGAGCCCTGTGTGTAAATGGCTCCTCATTGCTCAGGCAC